TGGTAGGTCAGCGATGCCAAACAGTATTCGGCGATAAATTCAAGTCTTTCAGGAAGGCCAGGAAACATTAGTCGAACACCTCTCTTGACACTTGGGTCGTTCTCCACAAAATGAGGTGGTAAAATTGAAAACTGAGAACTTTCAGTTGGCAGTCCGGCAACAGTGCGCCCGACGTGCATGTCGCCGGCTGCTTCGTAGCGTAGAAAAGTGTTCTGGACACCTCCGAGCGACCACCCTGATCTCAAATGAACTGCCGTAGAACCAGATGAGCAGAATGTGGCCGATCCCTTCCTCATTGAATGGGTCCCAAGCTCTGTTGGATCGAGGCCTTGGCGCTTTAACTCAGCAGCAACATCCTCCTGAGTTAGTAAACGCAACAGTGATTTTCTGAACCTCTCGTACTGATTGCTTCCATGGAAGAGAAGATGTCTATCATCAAACACAGTAGTCGCCCAATATAAACCCAACGCAACAATGGGGCAAATGGAAGGCTCCAGGGGGTTGGCATAAATATGCCGAGTGTCACGCGGGCGCTCTCCGCCTTGATCATTCTTCATATGGGCAAAGTAAATTTGCAACGCATCACCTCTCCACTCCATATGTGAGTGGCGGATTCCAAATGCATTAGATGACCGGCACATTAAATTCCACGCGATAACCATGTACGCATGCGAGAATGCCATGTCCTTCCCAGGTAGTAGAAGCATCTTCTTACAGAGAAAAATGTACAGATCGAACATAAGAGGATCCTTGCCAGTCTTGATTCTGCCCGTTCCATTTGATGCTTCCTTGGCTAGTGTGTGCTTCAGACCCTTGAAATACGTAGTCAGCTCCGACTCTAATGCCTTGGACATCGTGCAGCCGTAGTCACGATACAAATTGAACAAACTTGCTCTATGTGCGTTCAGAGCAGAATAGCTCAGCCCCGATCCGTCCTTCCGTGTCAGTGTCACGAGCCAGGTAACAAAGTCTTCAGCAGTAAGAGTCTCAAATTCGAGAGGAATGATGCTACTTTGGGGACACAACTTCTCTTTTACGCGAGATCGCAGTTGGTGGAGGGAGCAGTCGGACGTATCGCCAAGCCTCTCAGCAAACGGTGCCGACACGAGTTCTGACTTATTCTGGACCACCCAGGCAAGGAAGCGGCAGTGCGAGTTCTGGTAGGTGGTGCGAAAGCGCACTGATGGTATTCTCGCGAATGCCACGGATGTTCTCTTTCAGTTTTCCCCAATCACAGTCCGCCATTGCTGTCGGACACTTGTCTGCTGTCTTCTGTGCAAATTGCGCTTTGCTGTCGGTGACACGCGTTCACACAGAAAACAAAGTAGGTTTTTCAGAAAATAGCAGACATTGTGTCCAACGCTATACCAAATAGTGATCCCTAAGTCCGATGAATTTTGGGGAATGATCGTTTTCATGGTCACTAATAAATAGGAGACCGATCACTATTCGTAAAAA